GAACAGTAAAGTTGAAACGCAGCTATATTCTCGCATTTTTGATCATTGCCCTTCTTTCAACAAACAGGGCGAAGTTGCATTCATGTTTTGCCTGGCCTACATAAGTTCTGACAGAGTGTTTCTTCAGGAGAGCCCTAATACTTTACACTGAAAGCTGTAATATCTCTTTCAAGCGAAGAAAATGTCCTTTACTCCTGAGGTGGCACCTACTTTTTAACATTCAAAGCAGCGAATACCCGTGATTTTTCATTGGTCACCTCGCGCAGAGATAGTCAACACCAATCTGTTGTGGAGAATTCGTCTGCTAGCGGAAACTCCGAACTCGCTATGGGCGCTGCGATCACTTTGTGCCCGCGCTCCGCGGGAGTGGCCAGTATCGGCTTGTATGGCATTTGATCAAACAGTGCATGCTGCCCGCAGACACCCCTCGAAACGCTCCGCTTCGCTCGGCGAAAACTTCAATATAATCTCAAACCCCAGCGTGCGGCGAGCCTCGTCAGAACTGCCAAGAGTTCGCCAAGCGACCACGTTCCACTCTCAGTGTCGACCTATACAAAGGCGCTTCCGACTTTGGCGAGCGTTGCGGCATTCACATGAGCGGACAACTTTCTGAAGAATGTATAGCGTTGCCCGCTGCTGACGTCAGCAGCGGGCAAAGCCTTTTCGCGTTTCTTCATAAACAAGAGATTTTGCTGCAATAGTGTCGCTGATAATAGCAGACGGGCTTTATCGTGCGGAAGGAGATGATGAAATGACGAGATCAGGTGCGTACTTGGTCTCTTACGCCGTGCTTTTCATGGGCGGAACGTGGCAAATTGAGTTTGAAATAAAAACTTGACGCAGATGGTTGATCTTCTCCAGCACCTAACATTTTTACGATCTTTACACGAAAAATATGTTTAGGTCGCAATTCCTACGAAGTTTCTTTTACAGAGATTGGGGCTAAACTACCGATGTGCCCCCAAAAAACACACAAATATCTGTAGTACCTCAATACCATACACATGTTTAGACGAAAATTTGGCAATTCTACTGGTTAAAAAAGTGAGCACAGCCATGCGCTGCGAACAGTAGGCATAAAACGTCTATTGAAAGCTAGTTACATGATGATGGGCATAAGCTTCCTTATGCCCATCAATCCTTACCTGACCGTGCAATTGCAGGTTATACACTTTGAACAAAAACTAAAACTTACTTTGCATTTGAAATATTTACACTGCGAGATCTTAATCTGGGCTTAGAATAGGCCGAAGCAGATTCGACTTCGTGCAGAAACAACATAGCCACTGTACTATGACAGCTGGGGTCTTTAACGTGAATCACGCAGTCGTGGTTTATCTACCGCACATCTGAATGATGCAAATTGACATCGAAATAGGAAACACGGGGAGAAAGCTAGTCGGGTACTGCAACAAGAACGTTCGGGCCATAAGCTCTGTTCTGCTGGGAACTGCTCTAACATGCTTGACCACAGGGTGGACGTATGAACTAATGTTAGTTTCAATGGAATTCAGCGATTCATTTCTTAGCAATATGTTTTGTACATTTGTGGCGAAGAGGTGCCCTTAGTCTAGATTGATTTACTGAATCAATTCGTTCATCCATTCAACTCTTTATTTTCCGTGCTAAGGACAGATAATGCCAGAATAGTGATTGAAAAGCACATTTTGTGTGTCATTAATATACACAATTTGTATGGTTAATGAAACTGGCGAAAAGTGTAACAAAACAATTGCAATTACGCTAAGCAAAAAGCAATAAATACAGGTACGAAAGTAGCAAACAACATTCGCGGCATATTTTGAGAAGTTCACAAAAAACATGTTTAGGACTTACAGAAAACAGTTAAATATTAGTAAAAAACGCTTGATCATTTGCATACAAGAGTTGAAGATGCCAATGCTGATGTACAGAGCGTGTTATAAAAATGTATTATGTTCATGGGTCTGGTTAGATTTATCTTTCCAACAAAGAAAGTGGCAGTAACTCTTAATATTACCCTTGGTATATATAGGTCGATACCTGACGCCAGGCTCGGATAGTCTACTAAACTGTGCAAGTGTTTATGTAAAAATGAGATCGCTCTAGTTTTCTGGTGTTTAGTGCCAAACAACCATATCGTCGCCAGAGTCTAGCATAATTGAAATGAACAGTGCGACCAAGGTGGTAAAGTAAACAGTAATAAATACAATGTCTTCACTTTTTCTATCATTGCTTGGTTACTAAAACCAACGCAATTCCAAACGGCCGAATCAGGCTCAAGTTTCGTACGCATGAAAAAATGGTACAAATCGAATATACAAATTCAGAATAAAAGTTCTTCCAAAATACTATGAATGATGCCTAACACTCGAAACGCAGCATTTGTAATGTTCGGAACATCTTAATTGAAAGGCAACGTTTACTTAACGTATACTTCTATATCTCTCTGGCACTGAACCCTAAGTAGAAGGGACGAAACCACCGTTTTATAAGGATTTAGAGTTATATTGCGGTCGCACCAATGATGCACCACATTAACATTATTCATTAGTAGTACACAGTCGTGACTAGATGAAGCCTGCCGAAAGAAAATGCAGTCATCAACATATTGTAAAAAAATATTTGAATGGCGGTTACAGAAACTGAGATCATTTATGAATACATTGAAAATAATTGCCCATAGTATGAACCCTTGCGGCACACTCGAGTATGATAGATAAGGCATAGAATGTAATCCCAATATTTAAACAGATTGTCTCTTTCTGAAGAATAACTCTAAGTAAATAGAAAAACTTTTTTATCCACTCCATATGACCTTAATTTATGTAAAACCATTGAATGATCAACCAAGTCAAACCGCTTTTACAAATAAAAGTACACGGAACTTTTACGCCCGCGCTCACTGACGATCGGTGGCACTAAGTTTAGAATTGATACCAGATTGGTCTCTACAGCTATAGCAGTGGGAAAACCGTGTTGTGAAATGCATTCTTTTCGTTTAAAAAATTGCATTTCCCGGTCATCCCTACAAATACAGGTGAGTGGGAACGCTCTGAGGCATTGTAATGATTACAATATATAAAGATTTATGATAAAAACTAAAGTTTGAAGCGATTGAGCCAGATGATAGACAAAACGCAGCGAGTGTTCGTGCGAGTTGGTGGATGTTGATCATGTTGAAAATTTCACAAGACTGTGGAAACTTTTGCCTACCTTTTTGATAATAATAATACATTTTATCAATGATAGATTTCAGATAAAAGAGCCCGAGGAAAAAAGATGTTCATAGACAGCTTGACGAGCCCTCTGCCCCCTTATCAGAAACAAAGTATTTAAAAAAGGTACAAAAAGGTAAAAAAGAAATTATCGAGTTCTATTATGAAAACTAAGCAAAAAGCACAAACAACATACACACACACTATTGTTCGAGAAATAAAAAAATACGACGTAGTTCAGAAAATAAAATTGTGTCTCTAGTTTTTTTTTCTTGTCTACATAATTCAAAAACTAAGGAAGCGTAAATTTTTGTATTTGATAGCTATAGTTAGTTTTAGATCTAGGAATTTTCCAGCATTCGACAAACGAGTGGAGTAAACATACATAGGGGGCTAATTCAGTCAATAAACTCAATTTTCTTATGTGTCTTAAGCTTGTAATTGTAATTTTTTTTTAATATCAAGCACTTCGAAGCGTTTAAATAGTTATTCGGTATGAGATTTTTATAGAACGCCTGAAATAGTTCTTCATAATTTTTTCAGTAATATATGTAGTTTTTCTTTTATTTTAAGTTTGCGAGAGTAGTATTGCCTCAAACCCGATAGCAGTATGTTAAGAAAGAATAAAAAAATGAAGTTTAAATAGTACTTTTACAGAGGTTGGGAGCACAGATTGATGACGATATATTAACCCTTTAGCACCTGAAAACTTAGAGTTAACATGATGCATATGATCATTCCTAACATATTTTCTAAAAAGAAAAATAGCGCCTAAAGTCTTATGAGAATTTACAATTTCTATTGAACCTGAATTTAATATAATGTCTTTGTTCAAAACCACTGGTTTGTTCTTAGTAAAGAAGAAATTTCTAAGCAGAATTTTAAAGGGTCTTTTGGGGGCAAAGGGTTCAGTCTGGGGTAGTTCGGCGTTTGCTTTGACAGTGTGCAGTTCTTACAGTTGGGTGTTATTGTTCGATAACTAAAGTTTCCATTTCTAATGTGGGGTCACAGTTTTGCAGTAGCCGACGTTCAGACGTTCTCTTTCCCGTGTGATTTTGCTTCTACCAAGTTTCGTATGTTTTACCACAGTATAAGGTAATTTTCAATCAGATAAGACCATAGGTGGTTCGACTAGCTCTACTATATACACTTTTCAACTACACTAGTCTTAGAAATTGCAAAGAAGACAACTACAGTAGAATAACTGGCATGTCCGCTGTGTGATTACATGACCGGCAGTTTTCAGCATTTACCCATACCTTTAGCTTAAAACATACTGGCTAATGTTCGAGCACACGTCGTAATGCTTTCTGTGGAACAAATTCTGAGTCTCCTAAGGGTGGGCATGTTCGTCTGCAGGCTGAATCAATCATGATCTATAATTTAGTGGAAATATGCCAGCCAAGTAAACGATTACGTAGCTTGTTTTTAGCATTTGCTCGAATGGCACTACCACTTTCTTATATATTATGTTGAATAGCACTGATAGCATTTAGGTCCCTAATTTAATTTCGCCTATTTTGCTTTTTTACGAATAATATTAAATAGATAACGTGCCCCTTAAACACATATATTAGAATCATTCTATTTATTATTCAAACTCAGAATGGATATTCGTAATTTTTTTTATTCAAATCCGGATACAGTAAACAACAAATTATCGGACAAAGCCTTTATATGCATTTAGAAAAGGCAGGCATTTTCAGTGCAGGTGAAGTTTGTTTAAAAAATTAACTAATTATACTATTTCGAAGGTTTAGTCAACGAAACGCATTTATCGGGATCTTGAAATGTTTTGCTTACAGTTTTCTTGGCTTTGGGATCAAACCTCTTGTCCACGTAAAGACGACCTAATGCGTGTGTCATTGAGCTTGATATACGGGTGAGACACTTCTTCCACCATGGTCTGTCTTTCTTTACGCCGAATGCCTCTTTATTAAAGTTAAAGAAGAGCTTTTCTAGGTTTTTGGATGCCCCAGCACCTTGAGCTCGGATCCGAGTCCAGTACACAAAATTGTACAGCGTAGATCTGCGGAAAAAATGCGCCAGATCACGTACATATTAGAACGGCGTTTGTGAATAGGTCGCCACATTCATCCAGCGTAGGTATTCACCTCTATGTCTAATATTCTACTAACCGGCGCACGTCCAAATAAGCAAGAATTATAGGACAAGACCATATATGCAGCTAAAATATTGCCACTCGAATCTCCTAGCAAGCGCGTCCATGCTTTACGTACTTGACTCCGACACAAATGGTCCGAGGTTCGATGCATGGGAGCCGACGCACCTTTTTGTTATTCCTGTAAATGTCGCGTTCCTGTAAATGTGCGTTCTGGTAAATGAGAGAACCCTTTTGTTATTTTGAGAAGCAAGTGTGCTACGCACTGTACATTCTACGCCGTTTGTTCCACAAGCCCGCGCGTTTACTGTCGGGATCAAAGGTTTGGATAAGATCGGAGCGCCGACAGAATGGACCGTTTCCCATTAAGCTTCTGCGCATACGTACACTCCCGCTGTCGCCATTTTCGCAGGGCACCGTTCCCGGTGCCCTGCGAAGATGGTGAATTCGCCTAGAAGTTGATTACAACTTATTCCGTAGACAAGTACAAACGCGCAAGCGATCTGTGAAATGTGAAGAGGCACTCTAAGCTTTTATAGCGCCGAGGTAATTTCAGACCATATGGCAAACTTTGGAGGAAATTATTCAACGCTTGCCGCGAGATTAGACGCTGCATAATTCTATGGATAATCTGGAAGAGTACGCGTAGAAGAGCGGTCAATCGTTGCCAACAAGTAGGTTGCAGCGCACTTACCATAATAATAGCTGCCTTGAAAGAAGCAATCCAAAATATACGTCGACACGCTCAAAGCAGGACAACCATACAAACACAAAAACGAGAAGGAAGGCTCCTTGAAGTTTCAACACAATGCGGCGCACAAGCTGTCATTTGCCGAACCCAACCAAACCGCTAGAATTCCTGACTTCTTTTAAGAATCGCTTGTTGCCGATATACGCGTAGGACTTTTCGAACACTGATAGCTTTGGTGCACATCCAATACGGTGTCGAGAGACATCCTAATAAGTCCGCAGGATTAGATGACAGATAGAAGCAGGAAAGACCAGCGAAGTTCGAACTGCAACTGAAAACAAGCAGACACAGAAAAAATCGGCTGCCAGGCGCGCGCCCTTCTCGATCTCGATGCTTATCAGCCTGTAGCTCGCGCGCTGCTGTGGATCACGTGACAGAGCTGACCAGAGACGAGGGAGGGGGCGAGGTCAAGGCGCAGGAGACCGTGACACACCCCACCCTTGTATAAAAAAAAAAAAAAAAAAAAAAAAAAAAACTCGCGGTTAGGTTTTTTTTTTTTTTTTATTCCGGTCAATGTTAGGGGAGAGGGTGCACCAACCGGTGTACCGCTGTACACGCGCTTTCCGCCTCTCTTCGGATTATCACAAAAAGTTGATTGCGCCGCGTTTGCAGCCTCGGAAAGCGGGCGAATTTTTGCAGCACACTTGAATGCTGGAAATGGCGCGCGCCGGGCCTGCAGCTCGGCTTGCCCCCGAGCGAAAACGCACCCAGTACGAGCTCGTAATTTGACTGCTGCAACAGCGGGCCTGCTCTCGCAATGCTCGATGTTCGTGCAGCCACGTGCTCGCACGTTACTTTCGCTGAGTCTTGAATAGACCGATCTCCCGAAGCGTTCGACGCATGCGCGAGGCAGCCATAACTTTAGTTCACGGGAGGCAATCGGAAGTGCAAAAGACTGTTCGTACCGTGCACGCGCAGAGCTCCAGCGAGTTTGTCGCGCGCACAGAGACTAAAGTTCCCTCGATGCATTGCGGCAGCGGTGGCGTAGTCAAACTGGCTGGTGAGATCGGTGAAATGGAGTCTAGAAATATTTTCTTTCACGCGGTCGCTTCCTCTGCGCGAGAGGTTCGAGCTCAATAAGTAAATTGAGGTAACAAAAACGCAAAAGTGTTAAAATTCTCTCAAAGATACCGGCTCGGAACGCCGCATGTTTACGTAAACAAAATTTATTGTTGTTGCAGCATAAACGAACCTCAGCGCAATCAAAATATTAATATAATTACTTGCATTACGCGGACGATGGTAAATCGATGAACCGGCACTCCTGGCCTTCCCGAACAGGCTGCCACTGCTGAAACTGGCGTTACTATGCGGAGAGCCGTTTGATTAAACCGGTACCGCTTGCCGGTCACCGGTCACCCGACTGTGGAACATGGTCACCGGTTTGAGCAAACGTGCGACAACTTTGCCCAAACGAGTGAAACCATTTGCCCAGGCAACTGACCCGTTTGCCAAAGAAGAGAACAAAGAAGAGACCCGTACGAGCCATAACGGTCAAATAGGTGACCGTTATGGCTCATACGCGGACCCCTTTGAGCCATGCGGGTGACCCCTTTGACAAAGTGGTGGCCGGTATGGCTAAACTGTTAACGGTATGAACCCGTTTACTTTCATATAGGCGCCAAATGTTTTTTTTTTTTTTTTTTTTCAGTAGGGATACCTCAAGAGCTGCACTCTAATTCGGCGTTACAGGGAGTTGTAAGCGGTTTTCATTTTTTTGTCTTCACTTTTGTACATGACGTTGTAACGTCTTCTAAAGAAATCTAAGCAATGCCTCCTTAAGCACTGCATTCCATGCACTGTAAGGCCTGAAAGGTAAAGGTTTACCCAGCTCCTCCACCACAAATGTCACGAATGCAGGTGACGAGAAGCCGAACACTGAATTGAAGGATAAAGGTTTAATTGACGAACTTGTGCTAAACAAAAATAAGTAACGACAGAGCGTCAGGCAGCAGAAAAGCGGGCCGTGATTCGGCGGCACTACAGAGCGCTAGCGAGATTGACTCGACAAGGTCGCGGGCAGCTGCTTATCTACCGTGCGTCACTATCTCGAAAGTTCGGCAGAGAAAGTTCGAGCGTCGCGTGCTCGGGGCGAGGATGAACTGTCACTTTCGAGAACAAGAAAGCAGGAGGAAAGTTACGTCTGGTGCGAGAATGAACGCGAATCCTCTAGAAGTCCGTGACCGAGCGTTTCTTTATCGACCCTGCGGGTGGCAATATTTTTTTGAATACTGCACACCTTACAATGTTTATAAACCCAGGGGGAACGTGAAGACAAATCGTTTTGCACGTAGGTTTGTGATATCTAAATTTGATAATAGTGTAATTGTATGCGCTGACTTACATATTTTCTCCTTCCAGAAGTTCCTCAATACGTTTAATGTATTCAGGCTCCTTTACAATCACACGTTCGCTCTCATTGAGTGTCATATTGGCCGGTTCAAACCAATAATTTAATAGTTTCAGCCATTCAATCTGTAATGTCACAAGGGAAAATAAAACCGCAACATACAGTGAGGATTCCATTTCTGCAGAGTAATGTCCAGATGTCCACAAGGATCGAAATTATAATACAGTATACATATGAAGAACAATATACCAGTTCGCAACTTATGCTAGCCTTTATCCTTTTCATTTAATTTTATTTTGTTACCTTAATGACCCCCGATTGGGTATTACATAAGGGGTGGGTACATGAATGTATTATATATAAATGCCAAACGATTTTAAAGCCCGACGTGTCCTGTCATCTTTTTCATGAATGTGGATGGGCAATTGATTGCAACAGCGTAAGAAATGCAGTTCCAGCTCTGAGCTACTCGGGGAAAAAATGAAGCACGATATGCGACAGTGCGGGTGCTTGGGCGTGCAACTTGGTGTGAATGTCCGGTGAGCTGCGATATGCGTGCGGGGGAAAGGGGGTAAAAGATAAGGCTGTTGACAAAGGGAACGAAGACGCGCTCCGGGCACCATAGCTGTACTGTGAGTGAGCGGGAAATAAGCGGTAGCACTCCTGTTTTTATGATTTGTGGTGGCTCACATAAGCACGTTATGGAAGGTGCTATTCGATGTTTGGTTAAAGGGGTACTCCGCCGATTTCTTCATGGTCCCCGATTTTCTTGAAATTTCGCTAAACTCGCCAAACAACATCGCCAAAATAGTATCCCAAATATTAGGTCAAAATAATTTTTTTTTCACGAAGTTATTGAATTTACAATTTCGGTCCTCACCGTGTTTTTCAAACTGAAAGTCTCTACTGGCAACAATGAAAAAGTGACGTCAGTGGAAGTGCTGGGGTTCCCTCTTTGGACTGTAGAATTTGTACCCAACTGATTCGAAGCAGTTTTATGGTGTCAAATGAATGCTTTGGAAGCTCGCTCCAGTCCCCGCGCTCCAGCACAGAACAAATGATTGGCATATTCTATTTTTTAGACAGCTCGCCCGACTGGCAATTTTAACCATCCACTGACGTCACGGCCCTGAAAAGGGCGGGTATATTTGAATGTTTGTCTTTGCATCATTTTCATTTGCCGATTTCGGAATAACTATTATGAATTTCACGATACTAAATAGCATACCAGAAAGGGTAAAGGCCGGGGAGTCAGAAAATATAGTTATTTGAGGTAGCTCAAAAATCGGCGGAGTATCCCCTTAAGGGTCTTGTAAAGTGCAATGGAGCATGATCACAATAATCATTTTGGACGGAGATGTAGAGGGTGCGAGGACCAGAAACATCGCATACGCTACCGTGTTACGAAACTTTCGTTTCGGTGCAGCAAGTGGCAGCAAAGACCCGTTTTGGAAATTATTATTTTTTTTATCGCAGAAAAGCAATTTTTATATATTTCAATCTACTGTAAACGACTTAATTTTTGCGAGGACCCAATTTTCGCGAATTACGCGATTCGCCTACAATTCGCAAAAAAATAGGTTCCGCGAACAATTCCGGTAAAATGTAAACACATTGGAATATATATTGAGATCACACCGCGTCGCAAAATTTATAACCCGCGAATTATTGCAGAACTTCAGCTTTAACCTAAATTCCGAATGATTGAGCCCACGAAAATTAAGTCGTTTACAGTAAATGATGATGCCTCGTCGTTTCGGGCAATACATATATAATTTGGAGTGCCTGTGCCCCTTTAAGAAAACCCCTCGAGTTTTCTTGGGTAGGTAGGTATCCCATACAAATGTAAACAAAGTTTGTTCACGAGACTCCTCAGAACTCCTGATTCTTTTTTATTTAAAAATGTTTGAAGAGAAGTAATGACAAATCTTCGAAGCTCTTGCACAGTAGTCCGTGAAAATCAATTATATTTTGTCATGGGTGTTTTGACGTTCGATCGTCAATGATGGTCCCGGTCATTGTAGAGGTCGCCGCCTATCGACTTTGTGAATAGGCTGCCGCATTCCTGTCGCGCCCCCTCTCACTGTACTTAGTTGATGTCGCTTGATTAAATTCATTTCTCTATTGTGTTCGGGAACGTGTCGGTCGCATCCTGGCTCGCTGCACCCTGTCCTCACGGTACGGGCCCTCGATCCATCAAACATGGTGTCTGAAGTGAATCGTCCTCGACGGTATCCTTCAGGACGCTATAATCATCATCTCATGTCCAAGGAATCGAGCCTGCAGTGGGTCGGCGTCAGTCTACGGCAGACTAATTACAAAGTCAATAGGTGGCGACCTCTACATCTCCCCGTTTATGAAAGATGAAAGATTGAGGAAGCCCACGACATAAAACTTCACAAGTTTAAACGAGTCGGCCGAACAACACGTTGGCAACTACGAATTCGCAAAACACCGTCGCTGTCAGTTGGGACTGGGACCGGCTCAGTGGCAGGGGGCGGCCCTGTCGGGCTTGCAAGTCGTGGTTGTACAGGAACCAAGGCGTGTTGCGCTGATTCGGGCTCATCTTGTGGTTGTGCCTCTCCACCGAAAGGCACAAGATGGCGGAGATTTTGTTGAAGAACACCACCACGTTCTGTCTCCACCATATAACTTCGTGGTCGTTGAGCTAGACTCAACACTGTAGCGCGCACTTGATCAGGTCACACCCAGACTTGCTCTCCGGTTCGAAGTGACGGCAGGTCCCTGGCCGCGTGACGCCGGTTGTAGTTTGCAGCCTGTTGTCTTTTGTAGGCTAAATCATTGCTCGCGACTTTGTCTCTCGCTGGCCAATTTGAAAGGAGCTGCTCGTCGCACTTAGGAACTGGTGTTTTCAGCTGCCTCCCCATCAAAAACTGGGCTGGGCTGATATCGTTCAATTCCGGGGTGTCTGGGTAGCTGAGGAGGGCCAGATTCGGGTCATCTGCCTTCCGAAAGAGGTATCGTATTATCCGGATCATTCTGTCAGCTCCTCCATTAGACTGCGCGAAGTGAGGGCTGCTGGTTACGTGGTCAAACCCGTAAGATTTAGCGAAATATGTGAACTCTCTCGAAAAAAATGGAGGACCGTTGTCAGACCTTAAGCGCTGAGGAATTCCATTTCGAGCGAAGATGCCCTTGATCACGTCGATGACAACCTGAGCTCTCGTGCTTCTTAGCGTTACAACCTCTGGGAATCGGGAGTAGTAGTCCACTACTAGGATGAAGGTCTGTCCATTAAGGTGGAAGAGGTCCACGCCGAGCATATCCCACGGACGACCAGGGAGAGGGGTGCAGACGAGCGGCTCCGACAGGTTCACACGAGTGGAGGCGCACTGTTCAAAATTGGTAACCATGGAAGTGATCTCCGCAGTTATGCCTGGCCACCATACTGGTTCTCGAGCCCGGGCTTTGCTACGGTTAATTCCCTGATGTCCCTCGCTCGTGCAGCCGCGTCAGCACCGGCAGCCTCAGTGAAAAGGGAAGGCTGAAGCTTACCATTCCTGGGCATTCTATCTCAACTGCGAAAGCAGCAGATGCACCTAGTCGCACCAAGGACCTAGGTGCCACAGTAGCGATGGAGGTCACGCCTTCGTCTCGACTGGAGCACTGCACGGGCCCGGGCCAGCCCAAACATCCATGCACAGCCCGGCCCGGCCCGCGGGCCTTGCTCGGGCCGGGTACCACGCATTTTCTCGGGCCCGGGCCGGGCTCGGGCTTGAACAAAATATTTTGCGGGCCGTGGCTGGGCGGTCGTGTGCCACAAATTTTAAAATGTTGAAAACGAAAAAGCTGCTCATTGATCTTTTCGGTTCAATTAAAACAAACATGCGAAATGCAAAATTACTAAGCTGCTGTTAAAAAAAAGTCTTGCACTTGGAAAGCTTTCACGTGGATAAAAGGAAACGTATGGATTCCTCCACCATAGTGAGAAAGTTCGGTCAAGAAACCGAGGGCACTCCAGTAGCAAAGTACAACATGAGTATATTTTTTCTCTGCGCTTCAAACTGAACACAAGAAAAACAACGTGAGATTGATTTTGCTTTTGTGCAGGGAGCGTTACTATGCCGCCAAATATAAGCTGACTAGATATTTTTATGCTTATACACCTTTTTGAATATGCACTAGTATGATTCTGATTATTTCTTCACAAAAACATGTAGAGAGAAAAGTTCTCTGAAACGAATCGAAAAACGAAAAGCCCGATATCTCTTCAAGAAATACATAAATAAAGAATACGGCACTTTTTTTTTTAAGTCACTTATACACTGCATATATCGCCAATATTCTCGAAAATACACAAGGTCGGGATATTTATTGTGTCGAAAAATCTCGTTCCAAGTCCAAAAGAAATTTAAATCAAATATGCTCGCTTTATGCTTTATGGCTCATGAACATAAACTATCGGGCTCGGGCCGGACTCAGGCTTATATTTAAAACATTTTTGTCGGGCTCGGGCCGGGCTCGAACTTCTGTCTAAAAATTCTGCCGGGCCCGGGGCGGGCGCGGGCTATGCCTCTTCCGGGCCGGGTCGGGCCGGGCCTAGAAAAATAAATATTCTGTCGGGCTCGGGCCGGGCCCGGGTCGTGCCTCTGCCGGGCCGGGTCGGGCCGGGCCTAGAAAATCAGGCCCGTGCAGGTTTCTAGTCTCGACCTCCTGGTCCCGTCACTCAGTCCACGGAGCCAGTCTCCCGCTCCTCTTCCCTAGCGAGAACTTCCCCGTCTAGGAAGCAGCACCTGCCACGTGCGACAGATGATACAGACTGGACTGTGGGCAGACCTAGCACATTGACCGCCGCCCCATCAGGTCAAGGCAGGGACCGTGGGTTGCCCCGCGATCCCTAGACAACTCTAAGGCTTCTGGCAGGCCTGCGAGAAGTCACCAGACGCAGAAAAACTGCAGATACCGGCAACCATTCTGCTCCAGAGCCAGATCCTGAGAAAATGGAGTGGCGAATCCAGAAACAAAAGCATAAAGGGAAAACAACAGTATTTCCTCCTAGATCAGATCATCGCACACATCACCCCCTTTTTCTCTACCACTTCTCTGATACTTAAAATTCCATGAAGAATGACGGCAATCATCCAGTTGACTTGCCGAGGTCTAC